AAGATGCAGCTCAGAATGACATTGTAGGTAGCAGACAGAGTGTACTCTATCTACATGGACAAAATCATCAAAGGGGTCACTAGATGAATGCTTGGTGGAGACATGACAGTGTTATTGGGTTCATGTAGGTCTTACAAAGAGTAAATGGTAAGACAAAAAAAATCGCTCAGCAAAGCTATTTGTGAGCTGATACATCTATATATTAGTAAGATATAACTGGCCATGCATACACCATGTGCCACCGGCGAGCTGCTGGAGGAAGTCCTGGCAGTAGCCCTGAGACCAGAGAATTACAATGGCAGTGTTCAAGAACAGAGGAAAATGTACACTTCAGCTCAAACAAAGTTTGCACTCATCCTCCTTGGACATCTACTTGAGTCTCTAGCACTGGACAATATCTATCTCCACTGTGAAGGGTGACCTTTCTGAAGAAGACTGATCCATCTGCTAATTCTAGTTAATGCTGTATCAGCTTTGGGGAGATAGCTGAGCCCAGTCAAAGGGATGTGAGCAGTTAACCAAAATAGTCCAGAAAATCCAGGTAAGTCATGAACTCAGTTACTGTTATAACAGTTCTGATGGGCTGTCTTGTCTTTCCCAGGAATTACACAGTGACATGTGTTTGTAGACCATCCTTTGTTCCCTGCTGGCACATTTCATAGCTTTCACCAGGCTCTATCCGTGCTCCAGGGTATTCGGGAGCTGAACACCTAGGCTGGCTTAGGGTTAGCTCTTGCTTCACAGTAATACTGTGTAACGCATTTGTTGCTCTTCTCTTTTGACTTTGGACAAATACAATTTACTGTCTTTGTTATACCATACTTTCAGTGTTGGATGAAGCAAACTTTTGTTTAGTTGGTTTGGTTTTTTGAGACAGGGTTTCTCTGTGAAGCCTTGGCTGTCTTGGACTCGCTTTGTAGATCAGGCTGGCCTTGAACTCAGAGAGAGGCAGATCTGCTTCTGCCTCCCTGAGTGCTGGGATTACAGGCGTGCACCACCATGCTAGGCTGGATGAAGCAAACTTAAAAAGGAAATGGAAGAGTTTCTTATGGCCCTGTCACCAGAATGGTGAGCGACAGGATGTCACTTCCTCATGCACCATGGCTATCACGATATGAGGAGGCTTTTCTCATCAGATTCCGCTTGTGCAGAGTAAAAATTCCGTTTCCATCCATGCACCAGAACCAGTAGCTTGTTATCCACTGAGTCATCTGTAATATTTCTGTTAGATTTACTAAATGTTAGATTTACTAAATGTAGAGATTCTTAAAAGATAAATTGTGTTTGTAGGGTCGTGTTTGTTTGGAGAAAATTAATCATAAAAAAATTATAAATCTATTAGAAGAAAATATTAGAGAGTAGTCTAAAAAGATAAAAATCATCTGTGTAACAATGGAAAGAACCAGTAATCAGTATACATTAAGAGACAGATTCAACATCATCAAATGATCTTCCATTTATCTTGGATATAGAATTTAGCCTTGTCCATTATTTAGCCAGTAAAATCACAAATTTAGGCAAGTGGATCAATATTTTGATTACATCTCTCCGCAGATGAGAAAAAAAAAACATGTTTGGAATTGTGAGACAGGGCTAGCAGATGGATTCAGCCAGAGACTGATTTGTTAGAAACTACTGTTGGCTGTGGGAATGCTGAAAATCAGCTCTTGAGAACTTCAGTTCTCAAGAACAGCAAAAGCTCTTCTTTTGCCCTGAGTTCAAGCCTCCAATCAACCAACAAACTTACTGACCCACCAACCCACCCACCAACCAACTTACCTACCCACCAATCCATCAACCAACCACCACACCTACCAGTTAACTAACCCACCCACCAACCAACCCACCCACCCTCCAACTAACCAGCCCATCCACCAACCAACCAACCAATCAGTACTGTTAGGTGTAGAACACTTTGGTAGCCCCACAATTAGGAGGCTAAAATAGGACTGTGATGAATTCGAGGTCTACCATGCTACATTGTAAGTTCTAGGATAGCTTGGTGCAGGACAGCTAGAGCTACGTAACAAATGAAAAACCAAATACAACATGAAAAGTCATGCAGAAATATATTTAGTATATGTGAACACACATATGTGTATGCATGTGTACGTATGAGACTCCACTTCAACAAGCAAACACTCACCTACAAAATAACAACAAAACTAAAAACAAATAAATGGAATACTAATGGTTCTCTCCTCCACACCATGAATTCATAAATTCAGGAATAAGCATTCACAGTTTAGTAAGACAGAGCACATGAAGAGAAGAAAATTGTTTCTTAAATTATGGGTGAAGCCACAGGAATTCAATGTGACTCTGATTTATATCTAAATGTGGGACATTTTTCCTGTACATTTCAGGAAACAAAAATTTTAATCTCTCTAATGCATAAAATTTACCATAGTCCTGTTTTTCTTTTCTCCCTACCTCTAATTGCAATCTTGCATTTCTGTTTTTTTTAATGCTTTGAATTCCACATATTCCTATTGGATCTGTGATTTGTGGTTGTAATAAGCCTAACAAAACACTGATTTTCCTGACAACAACCATAGTTGAAAACACATTTTAATAAACATTAAATGTGATGTGTACGTCTCTAGGTATTCAGAAATACAAAACTAGCTAGGCACATGACTTGTGGGGCAGAAATTAAAGGATGGTCACAGGTTCAAGGCTGGCATGGCCAACATAGAGAGTTCTAAACTAGCTAGGGCTACATAATGAGAATTTTGTTCCAAACAAGACCAAATACAAGATAAAAAGAAATGCAAAAATATATTAAGTATTTCTGTACATATGTATATAAACTGCACACATATTTATATCCTATTTTATGGTAAACACAAGTCTAGTTTTAAATCTGTATTTCATATAGAACCATTACTCAATGTATCTGGAAGATCTGTATATCATTCTTAGAAAGTTAATATCATGAAAACATTTTCTCTTTCAGTCAACTAATTGAGACCGTAGGTTACATAACTTCAGCAAATTCAGATTCCAGTTAAAAATGTGGGAGCAATAAAGGAGGCTAACAGTCCCCTGTGTGTACCAAGACTTTTCGAAAAGTCAATTGTGATATCAGAATGCTCTGTCACCTCAAGGCAAAAGAGGGTGGGAAGATGGAAGCCATCAGATAGGTCAGGGTGGACTTCTGGAGGGCTCAGGTGAGACATGTTTAAGATACAGTAGTTCTAGGCAGAAGACAACACCTTAAACAGAAAGCAGTTAAGAAAAGAGGGTTCATTAACAATCACACATGAGTCACGTCTGAAGCATTACTGCTGTGGGACCACAGGAGAACACGGAAACAGAAGGGGCAAAAAGCACCAACAAGTGAAGGGACCTCCAACAGGCCCAAGCGCTTCCATACTGAGCAGAGGGCCCTGGCCACTGAAAGTGTCCATAGAGGAGGTGGATCTCTGCAATGATTATTTCTGCTTCTCTGTATTCAATCAACTATTCAAGATGAACAAAAGATCAATCCAATCCCCCTTTCTGTAACAGCACTTTTTTTTTTTTTTTTTTTTTTTTTTTGGCTCTGAGACAGTAATTTTCTGTAGCTTTGGCTGTACTGGACTTACTTTGTAGACCAGGCTGGCAATGAACTCACAGAGACCCGCCTGCCTCTGCCTTCCTAAGTGATGGGATCATGGGCATGTGCCAGCACGCCTGGCTACCACTTCGTATTTTTGAAAACTGGAATTATGTTCTATTTAAGATAGTACTTAGGGAAGAATGAAAAGGAGAGAGAATGAAATGAGAGACAGTCCTTTAGAAGACACCTGTCACTTCTCCAAGCACTGAAATAATAACACAATGACCAGGCCAACAGAAAGAAAGGAAGAAGAATAGGTGAGCTCTGTTGTCCTTTCACACTCTTCCAGCTGGGACGTGTTCTTTCAAGGTTGGATGTGTGTCCTACTGCATGGCTTACTTTGTCTTGATGTCTACTGAGCAGCTCCCAAGCAGGTCTTATTCCAAGTGGGGAAGTGCTGTAAGGAAGCCATGTGGCTGAGGAACAGCCTTCACATTTACTGAGCGCGGAGAGCATCAGCCCCAAGCACACCATCATGCAGCCTTCAGGCACTCTCGACAGATTTTACCCACCTTTCTGAGGATGGTGAGTATGCTAGAGACGCTGAACTCGCCAACATGGCTGTTTAGGTTGTGTTCCTCAAAGCTTCCCTTCAGCATCAAGTGGTGATTCCCACTGACAAAGTCAGAGCTGGGATTCGGGCTTGCACCACATCCGACCTGCTGCAGGGGGATGCTGCCACCTTCTTTGTAACAATGACACCTCAACAGTATTTTCAGAATCACTGGCAATTTCATTTTGATGAAGAGAGCACGAAACTGCTTTCACAGTTACGCTCACTAAATAATGTGTCCTTAAAATGTTCATTCACGAGATTTTAGCAAAGTATAAAACATTTACAATGCTCTCACAAAGCATTGTAACTTTAACCAAATAAGAGTGATTGCAAAGTTTAAGCAGAGCTGGCTCAAGATGGCTTTCCTATTTATTTTAAGAGTCACAACTGTCACAGACAGGGCACTAAATATTAGCGTCAAGGTCTGCGGCTTGGACCCTCTCTCCTATTAAGTTAGAAAAGTACAACCAGGCTGACTCTTAAAACAATACACAGATTTTAAAAATACACTGCCGCAAATCATTCAGCCTATTTGTCTAATAGTGCATGCCACTGCGGTGTGAGCAACCATTTCAGTTTCAATTGTTCCAAAAACGGTTTTGTTAAAAGTAACTGAGAAGGAAATGAATATATACCGAGGTGGAGACTAGCAATTCCACAGCGTGGCAATTCCTACTGTGTTAACAACAAGCTGCACTATACAGCTTAGCAACAGGGGTTTTCACACCGCTTTAGTATTCAGACAAAATGTGCACTGTAATTACAAATATTTATAGGAAAAATTACTATCCAAAAAAGTACAATATTAGCAAGTTGGTCACTAGAAAGCCTCAGATTTACCTGACATTTCCCTTGGTATTTCGCAGAACAGTTGCAGCAAAATTCTGTGTGACGCCCACCAGGCTGATTCCATCCACTTCCACAATCTGGTCATTGACTTGGATCCTGAAGAGAGAGAAAACAGCAGCGACAGTGTTCTTCTCTGCTGTCACACAGCCCTTTCCAAGGAAGGAACAACCCAACCCTTGCTTTGAAGACATTCTGGCTGACTCCAATATTCTGCATAATAAGCTCCAGACTGTAGTCAAATACATACTATCTTAAAAATAGTATTATGGCGACTGCAGAGGCAGAGTAGTTAGCACAGGGCTTACCTTCCAAGTACAGGAACCTGACCTTGACACCAGGAATCTATGTGAAAACGTCCGTAAGTGGATCCCTGGGGCTTGCTGACCAGCTAGCCTAGCCTATTTGGCTAATTCAAAGTGAAAGAGATACCCTATCTCAAGAAAAGATGGACAGCACATGAGAAACGGAACATTAAGTTGATCTCCTACCATATACAGATAGGTACAGGTACACATACCTACCTGAGTATGTAAATGCATATACACATGCAAACACTGAAAAAATAAAAACTACTCAGAGCTAAAGAAGTAATACTGAATGGATTCAGTTTGCCACGCATATTCTTCAAAAAAAAAGAATAATTGTAATGCATGGCAGATCTCTAACACTGTTTTTACCCAATTACATGTAACAGGTAGAGCTGGCCTACCTTTGAGACTAACACCTAGTCCCTGTCACTGCTCTCCTCCGGGAGAACATCGGGAATTACACCAGGGCTTCAAATAGGCAATGGTCACACGTACGCACACGTGTGCTCACATACACACAAAGATGTATGTTTCTGTGGGTATGCTTCTGAGACGCATCTCAAATTAATATTGATTAGTGTGTAAAATTTCTAAATGCGTATGTTTTATACATGCCATTTTTTTTATTCCCCATAATAAAATACTGTGGTCATGGAATAATGTGGTAAGAAACACCACATTATTGATAAAACATTCAGGCACCAGTGTCCAGCTTTACCAAATCTGAGCACTGTGCGATATCTGAAACATATTTTTTTCCAAAATAATTCATTACAAACAAGGGAAAAGACCCTTGGTTGTTTTTCTACAATCTTATGGCCTTTATTTCTCCAATACATATGGTCACATACTATTGTGTGTGTGTGTTTAGCAATAGATGCCAAAGAATACACATAATATAAATACACGTTTCAAAAATTTTAAAGTGAACCTTTCACCTTATTACTTTATTCACTCAGTATTAAATTTGGGATTTGTCTCTAGCAACTATGGTTGTAATTCTAGCTAATTCATTTTGACAACTACAGCACAGTACCTTTTATGCATATATCAAAATATATTTGTCTATTTTTTGTAGATGGACATTTTCAAATTTAGCTATCATAAGAACAGCTGTAATCAAGTTGATATAGGCTTCTTTATACACATGAGTCCTTCCGGAGTATATACCTGACTCAGAATTCCAATCACAGTAGAAATTAAACATATGGGAGCTGAAGAATCCTTGGTGTTCTCAGATTTTTTTTAGATGTTGTCAGTCATGGAGTTTCATAGCTAACTGACCTTTATTGTTCTGACATCACTACCTACCTAACTAGTTCCTTAGAAAGGCAGAGAAGGTAGGTGTGCTGGGGACGGAATAAGGCACACAGGCACACTCTGCTCCAGCCCTTGCTGGTACCTAGTTCCCCAAGTACTCTTTGAATCACATTTATTATCTCACTACTTTCTGAAATGATTAGAAAGCTGAATAAAATTTTTGACAAGTTTATTTTATATTCATGTAAGTCACATTTCAAATCTTTGGTGTTCACCTGTATCTGAACATCACATTCTGAAGGATCCACTGAAGTGCCCACAATGCCAGTCACTGTGGAGATGCCTCTGTGCTGAGGCTTGGCTCCCCAAACCCATCACAGATGTCAGATGATTCTCAAAAAAAAAAAAAAAAAAAAAAAAAATGCTTTGCTGCCATTCAGGTCTGCTAGCAGTTTATTTTTCTTTCTTTTTATTTTTCTCCTCTGTACTTTGTACTCTCCCACCCCCACTTCAGTTTTTGCCATTTTGGTTCTGGCCCTAAGATAATGATGGTAATGGTGTTGGTGGCCTCCCTCTAGGATGGACCCTGTTGCTCTGGAACTGTGAGTCAAAATAAATCCTTGGTTCCTTATGTTGCTTCTGTTGGGATATTTTATCAATGCAGGGGAAGGGAACTAATACATCCACAAATTAACTTATGAGATATCAACAGATATTTCATTGGGTGCATAGATAAAATTAAGGAGAATTTACATCCTAACACTTTTTCCTACCTATAAGCCTGAACACGACTCCATTTACTGACCTTTATTTGTTATCTTTATCAGAAATTTATAGCTTTCCCCAAGCCTAAACTTTGTCAGATGTACTTAATTTTGGAAGATGATAATAATATGGGGCTTTGCTGGATTAGTTTGAAGTCTGACATCTCTGCATAGCCATTTGTTTGCACTTGGTCTATGATGATGGCCTCCCTTTTCTCAGCAAGTTCTAAAGTCTCCCCTGATCTGGGTGACCCCAGATTTTGTAAGGAGTGTCACATAGCCCTCAGGGCAGATCACAGGCAGGATTCTTTCCTGATTACAAAACAAAACAAAACAAAACAAAACAAACAAACAAAAAAAACTGGTCCAAGAATCATCTGGGAATATCTAAAAAATACCCCACCCTGCTAAGAATCTTAGTCTTCAGCAGTAACCTTCATTTGTACTTGGAGATTTTCCCACCCATTGGATAATTAATTACTGTGTTCTCTTTTTATGATAGGAAAATGAGGCAGTGTACCACTACATGTAAATCAAGTATCCTTGAATACTTGACTCCAGCGAATCAAACACTTTCCCCCTTGAAATCCCTCCCACTGCCCAAGGTTTATAAATCCCTGATTTTAAATAAACAGGTGGCTGGCTGTGTGCTTCATGATACCATAAATTTTACAACATGACTGCCTGAGGTTCGTCATTTGCATCCTGTGTAGGGAGGAGGACACCAACCCACCCACAAAAACCTTTCACTAAAAATTTACCCTGCCTACAAGATGTGCAGGGATAAAGATGAAGCAGGGATTGAGGGAGGGACCTAACAATGACTGGCCCAGCTCACTGGCCCATAGGAGAAAGCCAACCCCTGACACTATTAATGATACTCTGCTACGCTTGCAGACAGGAGCTTAGCATAACTGTCCTCTGAGAGGATCCACTCAGCAGTGGATCAAAACAGATGCAGAGACCCGAAGCCAAACATTAGGCAGAACTTGGGGAGTCTTGTAGAAGAGTGGGGGAACAAAAGAAGGTCTCAAGAGGGGACAAGAACTCTTCAAGAAGACTAACACTGCAAACTAACCTGGGCCCATAGGGGTTTATAGAGACTGAACCACCAGCCAAAGAGTATGCATGGGTTAGACCTAGGCCCCCAACACATATGTAACTGATGGGCATCTTGGTCTTCATACAGGTCCCCTAAAAAGGGGATCAAGGGCTGTTTCTGACATGGACTCAGTTGCCTGCTTTTGAATCACTTTCCCTTAGCTTGGCTGCCTTGTCTGGCCTCAGGGAAAGAGGATGTACTTATTTCTGAAGCAACTTGATGTACCAGAGGTGGGTTGGTGTTTGGGGGAGGGCTCCTCTTTTTTGAGGAGAAGGGGAGGGGGGAATAGACAAGAGGAAAGAAGGTTGGACCAGAAGGAGAGGAGGGATGGGACTGCCATCTGGACCTAAAGTGAATAAATAAATTTTAAAACAAATAAAAAAATCTAGAGGACTAAGAAAGAAATAGCACATGAGCCATGGGTAGGCCCATAATTTTTGAAAGCAGCTTTGACAGAAAGTTAAGAATAGGGGGTAAATACAGACTTTAACAGTTCTAAATTTAGAGACCCATACTAATTTTGTTTGTTGTGTTTAATCACTTTGTTGGCAAAATGGAGAAGCAGGGAAGAGATTTCTGTTAGTTAAATAATGGACACAGTTGGTATGGACCACTTATTTCTGTAGATTCTCACTGAAACACCAGTGAATAACACTTTCAAAGGAAAAACAACAACAACAAAAGTACACTAAATAATTTATCTTTTAAAAGTAGAAATATAGGTGATCACTGAACATTTTAAAACACTTGAAGCAAAGGGCTGAGGAGATGCCTGAACATCTAAGAGCACACATTAAATTTGTAGATTACCTCAGTTCAGTTCCCGGCACCCACATCACAACTGGCTGAAACAACTGGCTGTTTCCATTTCCAGAAAACACATGCTTTCCGGTCTCTGCAAGTATTCAACAAATATTCTCTCGGTGAATGAAATGTATAAAAACCCAAGGCTGTAGAAAAGCATCCCTTTAGCCATGATCTTACTTTCCATACGTCAACTACCCATAACCATCTGCTGTCTGAAAGTATTTAGTGGAGAATTCCAGAAATAAACAATCCCAAGCTTTTAAACTGCACGCCATTCTAAGCAACACAATGAAATTGGCCCTCTTGTTCCGTCCAGATGAGCACTAAGGTACCGGGTGAACAGTCACAGCAGCACAGCGCCTCTGCTCAAGGAACTCTTGCCTCAGTTAACAAGGGCCCCAGAGTACAAGGCAGGGTTGTCCTCAGAGGGAGAATGCAATTCAGATGCACCTGATATAAATCTTGCACTTCCTTTAAGTGAAAAGATGAAAACTGTCAACTGAAAGGAGGAGGGGGAAGTGCTTTTATATCCTATGGGCAGAACAAAGGCAGCGCAGCTCTCCCTAGATTAGGTTCTGGTGATCGGTTCAGGAATGTACATCTGCAAGGAGCTCGCCTGAGGAAAGGAGGAGGCCTGAAGACTAGGGGTGTTTACTGAACTAGGAAAACCAAGTTGTACTGCCTGGAAAACGCTCAGGGGAGGTTCAGCATCAGGATGAAGATGGCGCCCAGCAACGCGGAGGGGACCTGCGAGGTCTTCGCTTTCCTCTGTACATTCTTTGCCATTCACGCGAGGCATGCTCCTCATTACCCTAACTGAAGAAATTGGCAGCTGATGCTAACATTTTTATAGCCAACAGGGAAATGGCCTGAAGTGGATTCCTTACCTGAAGCATTACAAAGACTCTGTATTATGCAAGGGTATGGTTGGGAGATGAAAGCAATGACGCCGAAGCTTTTGGATGTGAGGGTCTATCACTTAGAAGCCAAGGCCAAAAGGAAATTCTCTCAAAAGGCAAGAGACACGAGAGAAGTAATACACAGAGTTCAGAGCTTCCACATTTCCACAGAAAATTCACCATATCTAACACCATAATTAACTTATGAGCAGAAAACGAACGGTTAAAGAAGTCTGTGAAGGAGCAGGTAGATTCACTTTAGGTAGAAGTGGGTGTCTTGCCCAAGAAGAGAATGCGGGGAGCCTGAGTCCAGGCTGCAAAGCACCACGCGCTCTTCAGCCTTCTCAAGCTGCTGAGAGCCCTGGTACTGACTCAGAGGCAGCCAGCGGCGGGAAGGCTAAAGAAGGGAGAGGAGCTGGGCTGCTCAGGGCGTGTTTGATGTGTACAGATAGTTGTTGGCGTGATACTTCCGGGAAGGGGGTGGGGGAAACGCTACTTCACAAGGTAAGTCAACTAGGAACCAAGAACGACAGAAGACAGGAACACCCGCTGAGGCGGTATCAGTGATCTTCAGTGGATTTCAATGCACTTGAAAATACTGATCCAAAAGCAGTATCCCGACTCCCCAAGGAAAGATCTGATAACAGTATAAATAATGAAACGATGCAGGACAACAAAAAAAGTAAACAGGTTAAAAGAAATCAAATTAAATTGTTAACGTAAGTGAGGAAAATATTAAACGGTCTATATCGGAAACCAGATCTTTGAGTGCTGAATGAAGCCATTTTCTTTGTGTTTTCATTTTGCATCTTCGTTTGCATTTGTGCCCAATTCACCTAAACAATTATGCATAATCATTTAGTTTTCCTTGACACTAACTGTAAGAATTTTTTCCTATCTCCCTGAAATGACTTTTACAAATAAAGTAGATTTTACAAGTTTAGTTCTCTTGAAAAAAAGGGGTCCCTTCAACGAGTTTCATAATGGTATTAATATTTCCCATCTTAAAATTTATTTTTATTTTTTTTTTTTGGGGGGGGGGTTTGAGACATAGTTTATCTGTATAGCTATGGCTATACTGGAATTCATTCTACAGACCAGGCTGGCCTTGAACTTAGAGATATATCTGCCTCTGCCTAAGATTAAGGTGTGTGCCCCCACGCCCAGCTGAAAACTGTTTTTTGGGGTTGTGTTGTTTTGTTTTTATTCTGATTATGTGTGTGTGTACTCATGTCCACACACATGGAAGTAGGAGGACAGCATTTAATTCCTTTGTATTGATACTTTCCATAATTAATCTAGAACCTTTCCGTGAGACCCTGTTTGAAAAACTAAAATAAAAGCCAGGTGGTGGTGGTGCACGCCTTTAGTCCCAGCACTTGGGAGGCAGAGGCAGGAAAATCTCTGAGTTTGAGGCCAGGCTGCTGCTCTACAGAATGAGTTCCAGGACAGCCAGGGCTGCACAGACAAACCCTGTCTTGAAAAACCAAAAAACAATTTAAAAAATAATAAATAAAATAAATCAATTCGGTACCTCCTCCTTTGGATCCCTATGTATAACAACATGTGTTTCCGGGTTATGGAAAGCAGAATGCTGCTGCTGGGAATCTCAACAGAGACCCATGACTCACAGGCTTAGTGAGAAGGTTAAGTAATATGTATCCACACATAAAAATGTTGCTTATTCAATGTTCTCTGAATTCAGCTGTCACAATCTGGGGCCTTGGTTCATTTCTATTGCCAATCCATTGCTTCCAGCTTTCCACCAGAAGCCTGGTGTAAAGCTAAATCTTTACATTAAAGATGCATGACCTTTGAGCTGTTGCAAGCTAATGCATTAACGCATAATTGCCCGAAGCAGGCAACTTCTGCTCACATAGAGTTCTCTTTCTGCACACCAAGCAGCCTTCTAGCACCGCCTTCTGTGTAGGAAAACACACATGGAAACGCTAGTCTCTAGGTCCTCCTCGGGGAGAAGTGGGTTCTTAAGTTCCCTTCCACTTCTGTCGTTTTCACAATTACTATTATTCACTTTAATAGTCCTGAAATAAAGTCACATACTGACTTCCCAAGGACATGTTTTTCAACCATACCTACCACATTATGACCAAGTTCACTGTAAGTAGATGCATGGATAGAAACAAAGGGAGACACAGACAATTTACTGCGCAGACACTCTGCTACCAACAAGAAAGTAATTCAAGTCTTTTCACATTCTCCTACATCTGAGAAACACTAAAAAATTATTATTTTTTTAATCAAAAGAAGAAGGATCACACTGACGGAAATTTGCAGGCAGTTCCTGGGATTCAATTCGGAGTCAGTGGTACCCAGCTCACCTGCCATCCCGCTGAGCAGAACCTCCATCTGTCACTGTCTTGACAAATATCCCCAGCTTCTCCAGTCCAGCGTCAGCACCAACTCCCATTCCAATAATGCTTATGCCGAGCCCGTCCTCATCTGGGAGAAGAGAAGACAGTGAGCAGCTGAGCTTCGTCCTGGCCTAACTGGCCTAGCTAGCCGCTGAGGCTGCTCGCTCCTTCTAGTTTTACTCTTCCTTGTGCACAGGGCAGATTATACGTTTGCCTCCACATCACAAGAGTCCCCAGTTGGTTCAAAAGTTACAGATGTTTTTTCTAATACTGTTGATAACTCAGTGTGGTCCCAGGAAAGGTAATGATTTGGTTCTTGAATAATCTAATTACCCTCTGCACCATTTTAGTCATGAACAAATATATACACTCAACAACATTTATAACTCTAAATAAATGTGACCCATAGTTATTTGGAATTTCATCTTTTCATTTTTATTAATTACTCTTGTTTAGAAGATTGCATGAAGCTCGGACTTGGCTCAGTGGTCGTGCCTTACACCCAAGTCTGTTGGCTAGCACAACAAGAACAAAACAAAACAAAACTAAAGATTGGATGTGTGACTGCGTACACTCCTCTACGCTTCTACACAAGCATCTATGCTTATCATAACAATAGAGCCAGGTGCATACCTACATGTATATACATACCTACACAGGCAAGCATGCATTCATGTATATGTATCTTTTCTTTCCTCTATACAAATAAGATTTCATTTCTCTCTGCATCACACATGCTTAAAATTAATGATACCTCTTGGATAAACTTTTCTAGATTTAAATCATTTCTAGTGACAGCATAATATTTCACGATGATCTATCACAGTACATTAAATCACTTCTCTATTAACAATCAGTCGTTTTTATTTCTATTTTATTGGTCCTGTAAGCAATACTGAAAGTTATATTTCAAATTCACTTACAAATCATGTGTTAATTCATATTCCCATTTGCCCTTTCCATGAGCATAATGTATTTCACCACTAATAAAATAAAAAGATTTTGTTAATGTTCAAGGTTATTTTTCTGGTAGCCTCAAAGTCTTTGTAATCATGATTTATCAGCAGCATAAAGATAGATACTAGCTAATCAACAGTTTTAGATCATTAAAGGAAAACTCATCCACAAATTCAAGAGAATGTATTTAAAATAACTTTTAGCAACTGTTATTATACTATTTTTTACTGTGCTTTAGAGGAGAACATCTCAGTGATCATTAATTGTCACTAGCTACTTCCTTTATGACAACTTTGTTCTAAGTACACATAGACAATCCTGTATCTTTATCCTACTGTGTTTCTAAAGATCCCTTTAGCAGTACGGGAACAATTTCTTGGTTCCTTTGTAGAGTCTGGATTCTGTGGGGTCTTCCCTGCATGAGTCTTCTGACATAAAGTCCAGCCAAAGACGAGTGTACCTTGATTGCAGGCACAGGAATGCATCTGGGCAGAGAAAAACGAGCACCCACTAATGTGCGGGATCACCCACGTGTTAGTGTAATTCTAACCCACTACAGTAGAATGTTTGCACAGCTACAACTCCTCAAACTGATTTCATTCAAATCATTCCTCTTAAAGAACCTAAGCTTGATCAAGAGGATCTCCCTGCTAAAGGTTTTCCCACACTCACCACACTGTGAGAGTGTCTCCCCAAGTTCTCTTGGGGTTGGGAAGGTCTGATGTGCCTGGGCACCAGTGGGTGGGTGGGGGTTCTTGTGCATTCGCCATGCATATGGTTTTCTTCCATCCTACATGAATTCTCTTGTGTGTATCACAGCAAATCTCTAAGGAATTAGCATTTCACCTGAATTCTTGCTCACGTCGCTGCACTTGCAGTGGTTCTCTTCGTTACAGTGACCTCCTGTTAAATATGAGCTAAACTTTTTGCTGTTCATTAACATCACAAGGTTGCCACTGAATCCCCTACCAGTGTCTCGTCTGGAAATTATTTATTGGCTTAAAAATTTGCTTTGCCTGCCTGGACTCGGGGCTTCTTAATATCCGTGTTCTTCTTTCCATAGCTCTTCTTATTGTTCTAACTAGAAAGTTATTTGGACTTTTTTTTTAATCTGCAGAGATTCTGGGGGTGGGGGGAGTAACATTAGTTTGAGTCATCTTGAATTCTAATGCAGACTTCCTACAAGAAGAAGTGAAGAACTGAAGGGCAAAACATGGGTAGAAAGAAACAATCATCTCCCACAGGTGATGCTCCCTGCACCTCCTCTCTTCTTTGTTCACAGGGAGAAGTGCCATGCATGGATCAAGTTTGGAAGCCACAAACTCTTGGCAGGAAGTCAGGAGTGGTCCAGCAAGACTGTTCAACAGGCAAAGGTGCTCACTAGCATGCGACCCACATGGCGGAGAGCAAGACTGGACTCCAGCAAGGTGTCTTCTGACCTCCACCTGGTACGTGTAACTGTCCCTCTTCCCAAAGATTTAATACATGTAATTAATATAACATTAAAAAAAACCCAATAGTGACCCTGAGTACTGGCTTTTCTTCCTCCCAGGGACAGGCAAAAGCATTAGGTAGACAAAGCAGTCAGGAGAAAACACTGAGGCCCTCATACTCTAGAAGACACAGTCCCCTGACCTGGGGGGTCCAGGTTTGCTTCCTCTCAGGAAAGAAGCGCTTGCTGTTTAACCTTGCTTTTGTCACTAGTGAGATGTGAGCCTGTCTCCACAGGACCTCTGTGTTATTTTCCTGTAAAATGCAAGTTTTTCTGCTCAATTTTGTCTTTTTATTCTGACAGTTTACAAAGATTATTAGATTATGGATATTAACTTTGTTAGCAATAATGCAGACACTTTTTCATTTTCCTGTTAGTTTTTTCTGACTTAATTGCCTTTATCAGGTTAAGACTCCAAGTAATCAAAATGATGTTATCTTCTTTAACTTCTGGCTTCCCATTTTGGTTTGGTTTTCCCCCCCAACTTAGGTGACAGATACTGTAGATTTTCTTCAAATACAGTATTACTTTTTAGCATTTGATTTTAACCTGTTTAGTGTTCCTTATACATGGTATAATAAAGATAATAACTTTGAATTTTAGATAGATGTTGAATTACGTTAGAGTGCATACTGTATTAAATTCTCTCATACTAATATTTTCTCCTGTATTTTCAGTTTTGTTGCACTAATCAACCACTGTAAATATAATTTGTCCTGATGATTGAAGCTTTATATTAGTTTGAGATGTCTGGCAATTTAAATCCTTCATATTTTTATACTTCTCTTAGGTCTGAATCTTTCTATTTAAACTATATTATTATTATTTTACACAACACCATCTTATAATTTAACTTTGTTGACAGTTCTATCTGTATTGCACTGAATTTATAGGAATTTATAGAGCACCTACTAAATCTTCCCATTCAGAAACACAGTAAATTTGTCAGTTGGCTTAACTCTTGCTCCTTCCCTCCCCTGTTTTGATTTTGAGACAATGCCATTTCTGTTTTTGTTGTTGTTGTTGTTGTTGTTTTGTTTTGTTTTTGGTCTGGAACCACTAGGTAGTTCAGACTGCCCTTGAACTAATGAGAATTCTCCTCCCTTAGCTGTACATGTGCTGAGACTACAGAAACAAGTCACCATACCCAGGAAAATATTTGATGATTTTCTATAGATAAGTCCTGTATTTGAAGTAATGAATATAATCAATATTCTGCTGCTACTGTAAATGAAATATTTTCCCATTTCACTCTTAAGTTGTGAGTATGAATAATGGGAAAACCTATTAATATCTCCTGGATCTTGAGGCGGACATCTTCCTTGACAAACTGTATTACCAATTCCAATATTTATAAATTAAATTATGTCTCCAAGACAGATACAGATACTGCTATGATTTAGCTATATGTCTCCTTAAAGGCTCATGTGCTACATAGATTTGGTCCTCACCTTGGCTCTGAGAGATGGTAGAAGCTTAGGAGTCTCATGGTCTAAATAGCAAAGTTAGGCTGTGCCTTTAAAGAAAACACAGGGATCGGGCCCCCTTGTCTCTCTCTTCTGCTTCTTGGCTCTCAAGAGGGGAGTGACTTCCTCTGCCACGCACTCCACTCTACTACCTCGCAACAGGCTCCAAAGCAATTGGCAACTGTGCAGACTTATCCCGTACACTAACTTCAGCTTGCCTGTAAGGTGCTGTATCTCACGTGTTGTGTTTCAGCCATAGAAGCCTGTCTCACCAAACAGGGAGATGGATTTCTTAGCAAAAGACAATGTTTTGCAAACTTGTTTTGCAAATTTTTCTTTTGTTGTAAAACAGGTTGCTGGCCATAACTGTTTCCATGAACCAAATCCTCACAACTTGGGGGCTACAGCTAAGCAGTTGTTGAGTATTTTTTAGTTCTTAATTTTTATGCTTGTATTTGATGAGAGATGTCAATGACATTTCGTAGTTTTAAAAGTCCTTGCTGCTTTGAGAAGTTTAGATACTATGTGAAAAAATCACCTAGTAATAAGAGAAATGTGCTTGCTTAAAAAATTTTTTTTATTATTATTGTTTATTCAATTTGTATCCCGGCTGTGTCTCCCTCATCTCCTCCCAATCCCACCCTCCCTCCCTGCTTTTTAAGAAGAGGAGGGAAGGAGGACTCAGGGGTGGGAGTGAAGGGGTGAGATTGTTTCTATGTTCCCTGAAACACGCCCCTTTGTAGAAGTCCAGACTGAGCACAGCACTCCATGTACCTAGTACATTTTTCAGCCAGGTTTCTCACTATCTGATATGTCTGGCATTAATTAAAACAAAAAGTTGACAGCTCAGTCAGAAGGGGAGGAGGAAATCTGTGGTTAGGTACACCTGAAATTGTCTGGGTGAGGTTTGGAAAAAAAAAAAAACTCAGTTAAACATCACATAGCAAACAGCCATTAAATTATTAAAAAAACAACTTATGAGGAAAGGCCCTTTGTACACATAGATTTTCATAGCAGTATTTATATAATGAAGTGTGTGTGTGTGTGTGTGTGTGTGTGTGTGTGTGTGTGTGTGTGTGTTTTCTTTCTAGTACTGTACACTCACCAGGTGAATTATTCACTGGGTCAAATGACTTTAGAGCTTTCTTTCCAGAACTTTTACAACCAAGACATGTTTGACCTGCACACTCCATCAGATTGCTAGCCTTCTCTTTTATTTCTTTAGAGAAACTTTGAATAAAAACATTTGAACCTTTAAAAAAAAATGTATCTTATTTACCATTTCTGATTTCATAGACCATGGCTTTTTTTCCTCTTAAATGTTTATTTTAAAGAAAGATGCTAATATATATTTATTTTGAGAAAGACTTTTACTGTATATTACACATTAAAAAAAAATCCCTTTCTAAGACAGCTGGTAATAATAGCTTCAATTTTCTATCAAATATTATCTAAGAATTTTAGTTTCTAGATTCTCATGATAGTACTGAGTTTCTAATTTTTATTCAATTGTTTAAAAAAAATCTCATGTTCTACCAGCTGAATATTTGTCTTTATAGATAGCTTTAAATCAATTCATTAATACTAATCTACTCCTAACTGGTATTCTGCCTGTTAGATCCTCTTGGGAAAGAAATATAATGAAATTTTGAATAATTTTATTTCCTTTGGCTATCCTTTCGGGTCTCTTTTGCAATTTATATTTTAAAGTGAAATATATACAAACAATATAGTTTATTCAACTGTTTATCTGTGGAAAATGTTTCAAGAAGTCTGGTAGTGCACAAATATAATCCCAGTACTCTGGACACTGAGCAGAGAACAAGAAACTCCTGGCCAGAGTGCACAGTGAAACCACTTCTCAGGCCTCAAGAACAAACTGGAAAACACACTGCAAAGAGGAAGAGGTTTATGATATGACAATTTGGTATGCTGAGGCAGGAGGATCACAAGTTGGAGCCCAGCCACTATAGAACTCAAGGGCAACTTGGGCTACAAGAATGAAGATAAAATAAAACCCTGCACTAACAAATATAGACACTTCAGAAAGCTACCTATATACCCCTCCTGGTGATAATATATCTATTTTATTCATTATTACTTTGATTTAATTAAAAAAATACTACTCACCTGTGTCTCATATCCTTAAGTAATATGCTGTTCAACTTTCCTTTGAGTTGAAATTCAAGTAAGTTGGAAGCACAGCCGAGTGACTTCTGTGGTTTCCTGTTTACTCCTCCCTCAGTGTTACATTTGTGGAGTCACACGCACTGCTGCATGAACTGCACTTCACAGTTTGTCCCTGACTACATATGCTGTCATGCCTCTGATAGATGTTTGGGTTCTCATGTTTAGCTCTTACGAGCAATGTAAGACACACTGGCTGCTATATTTTTAAAACAAAAAAATGAAAGCATCACTCTCTACCTCATTTTAACAACTTTAAATGAATGCATCTGCTAACTGGAGTAGTCAGCTATGTTTACTGGAGTGCTAGGTAGTTATCATATTATCTTATTATCCTTGAAGTTTAATGTTTAATATTTATACAGACTTCCCCTCCTCATCTCTACTGTTTTGAACAAACTGATTGTGTCTTTCCCTCCTTGCTGCAGAAAGCAAATTCTCATATAACTCATGAACTTTACATATCAGCAAAATCTTTTCTTTCCTCCGGAGAAGCAAATATTCCCAAGGATGCACACAGGGTTCCCTGGACAGCTCCCTTTTCACTCACAGTGGACCATGAAAGTCCACTGCATATGGCTTCTCAGGCTGGAAGGCCTCCTGATACTACCTTTGTCATTTTAAACACTTTCACTTGCTCTTTTACTTTGGTTTTTATTTAATTTCAAAAACTAGTATTCTGAAAGGGTTTTATTTTATATTTAACCATTAGGTTTTTCCCAATTTATTGGGGATCCATCTGGTAGTTTTTGTTTGTTTGCTTTTGTTTTTAGTTTCTCTCTCAAGAAAATTTTCTCCTATTATTATTAACTGTGTGTCTCCTTCGTTGCTCTATATTTCACTTCTGTTGTCCACAATTTATGTGTCAGTGCTCGTTCCTGCTTGTCTTGGGTGTCTGCTGTCATTTGAAATGGTCTGGGGACATGTCTTATGTTGATCTCCCAGGTCACTAATGTGAGTCTCCATAGCTATGCTTCTTATCTCAACGTTTGCAGCCAAATTTGTCATTTGAAAATCCATGAATTTGTTGTTGCTAATGTGCTTAAGAATGTCTTTTTGAAGCACTATTTACTATCAGCAGTGACTTTCATCATCTGGTTATTCCGCCCCCATTTTAAAGACTTCCAGACCTGTTAGTTTTCTGTTCACAGGGACACGATCCAGTTCCTGGGCGCCCATCTTACACTAGGATAAACAGAGCCATCGTGACTCAGGCATCAAGGCTTCTGTAGCGGGGAGGTTGTCATTTCCAAGGGGAATCTCAGGACCAGATCCTCCACTCCTTCTTTCCCTGTTTCTTTTTCACTCTCCTCACAGATGGAGAACGGAGCATTCCCGTTTGAAGCAAAATTCTTAATTACTCCAAATCTTCTTACGTTTCCAGAGAAACTCCCAACTACTTCCACTACCACTATATTCTGAACTACTGAGACATCCCCCTCTAACAAACAAGAAAACTTTGAAACTCTTCCTCAAGATCAGTTCTCTGTGGACTTTTATCCTCAACAATCCTTCCAGTAATGCCAACAAAGCAGTGGGCACATTCTCATTCTCTCTCTGTGTCTCTCTCTCAGCATCTTAGTCTGGATTACTATGGCTTTTCCAGCTCAAAGTTACAAAGTCCTTCCACAATCCTCCCAAAAATCAATGGTCAGTCTGTCACAACAACACCCCCTGACCCTGGTACCAATTTGTCTTGGTCTTGGTTACTACTCCTATGACAAAACACCATGACTAAAGCAACTTAGCGAGGAAAGGGTTTATTTGGCTTACACTTCCATATCACATTACATCATTTAAAAAAAAAAGTCGGGCTAGGAACTCATGAGTTCCTTAATTAATAACTGATGTGGGAGGACCCAGTCCAGTGTAGGTGATACCTACACAAGTAATGGGCTAGTGGTCCTGGACTCCATAAGAAAGCAGGCTGAGGAAGCCATGATGAGCAAACTGGTAAGCAGGACCCCTTCGTGGCCTCTGCATCAGCTCTGGCCTCCAGGCTCCTGACCTCCATGAGTGCCTGTCTCTCTTCTTGACTCTAGCTTGTGTCAAGTTGGCATAAACTAGTCACCTGCCTCCTATATGAACCACCATCCCAGCCAGATAAGGGACTTGAGGTGCTTGGGAACTGGTGAGATGAGGAAGTTGTTTAATAAGTAGCTATTGAAAATCCACATGAACTCTTTGAAAGTTGGTCACCATAGGGGAAAGTCAAAAGTTTACCGAGTTCTTAGAAACATGCTATGCTCTGGAAGTCACACCTTGTTTCTAAAGAGACATGAAGACACAAATACTGGAGTCCTGCTGTACCTTTCTCCAGTTCGACCGGGAAAAGTTCCAGCTTTTCTACTCGCTTTTCAAGTTCATACTCAGCAGAGGCAGCCACAGGGTCAACTTCATCATTTCTCCTGTCATAGTCTTCATTGGAGTATGTGTTGAAAACCTATAGTAAAAGGCCAAAAACAAATGATAATATAGAAAACATGCCATTCAGTATTCCAAACTACATAATTTCATGAAAAAAGAAACACTTTATGCATTTTTTTTCTATTTGTATTTTTGTTTCTTTTACTTTTCTATGTGTATGTTCACTTAAGTGTGTATGTGTATGCATGAAAATGAGTGTGGTATATATGTTGAGTGTGTGTGTTTGTCATGTTTGTGTTTGTGGTATGTGTGTATGTGTGTGTTTATGTGTATGTGTGTATGTGGTGTATATGTTTGTGTGTGTGGTCTACATGTGTTTGTATGTTTATGGGAAGGTGTGTGTGTGTGTGTGTGTGTGTGTGATACAAACTGCAGAGGAGGGCACTGGATATTCTGCTCCATCACTCTCGTTACTCCCTCGAGTCAGGGTCTATCAGTGGAACTGGAGCTGGCTTGTGAGCCTGCAAGTCCTCAAAGCCTCCTGCTTCTGCTTGCCTGCATTTTTGAGATTACAGGTGCATGTTACAGTGCCTGGATTTTTGTATGGTTTCTGGGGTTTTGAACTCAGGTTCTCAGGCTTGCTCAGCAAATTCTCTTACCTAGTGAGCCATCTCCCCAGCCCCTGATGCATTTCTCCTAACAATCGTTTGATATTTAAAATTAATCAAGATGCTAGGAAAACGACAATTGGACCCAAATAAAAGTAACTTATTAAATTAAAAATGTGAGTCACTTTATCAGTTTCAGTAATTGAAGAGACAACAGTAGACACGGACTGCTTTGTGTGACTAGTAATACTCATCAACCTTTATTTATTCAGAATATAGTAACAAGTGCTATTCCTGGTCAAACTAGAGTAAACCATATCAAATTTATATTACCATACCCAAAATTGAACCTGCCTTATGGTAAGGACTATACTAGCCCCAAGAGTGTAGTGAATTGATAATATAATTACATATTAACCACAGAATTACCCAAATCGATTTCCATTCTACACTGTCCTGGTTTATGCTAAACTGCTTTCATCTGTCATCTGCCATTTTACTTGTATACAGATTTAAATTAAATTTTCATTGGCTCTTTCTAGGAAACAGCTATCAACATATTGCTCAAAGGCTATAAAACAAATAAGATATCGACAGTCTTTATTTCTAAATTAAGTCATTCAAAAGACAATGTGTGGCACTCAGACAGAACTATAATAAATGTGCCTATCTGCTAAAGGACTAAAGTAGTTATCAATCACTCAGTACACAGAAGGGTATTTGAATGAAAGAAATGTATCTATCACTAAGTGTAATCAATATCTAGAATAAAAGCTGTCATTATCAATTCAATTCAAAATTTATTAAGCATAGAAAGTTCATCTGGAAATGATCTACAAGTCTCTCCTCAAACTCGTAAAACCTGGTAGTTAAAAGCTTTTAAAAATACATTAAAAACTATAAGAGAAACAAAAAGAAGACTAAATAAAGAAAAACAATGAAGGAAATGTATCCTTGCCTCTAAAATTGGCCCTGTTCCTGGAGATAAAAATTTAAATGCATTTTTAATTTTTTTATGATTTTTATTTGGAGTAAACCAAGAGTACAGACATAGTGTCCACACAGGGGTAGACTCAGTGAGGCTGCTCACGGGCTTCACTTCTCACATCCGTGTCCTCAGGCTCTGTGCCTGAGTGGACTTGCTTGGACCAGTCCTCCAGCTGCACCCCATGTTTTGATCTCCTGATTCCTGGAGTCTCAATTCCTCTCTGCTAGGTTTCTCCACCATAGCAAACATTACTGTATTAAAATGCATGTCTCTATATGATGGAGTTTTATTTATCTTTACAGAAAATACACTTTCTATGTCCCTAACAAATTACAAAACTCACAACTTTCTCTCAGCCCTTTTTATCTTTCAGCTCCAGCTTTTGCTAGTCACATATTAACTCTTACTCACTCAACCAGATTTTTTTAGTTTTAATTTTTTAATTAAATTTTTATTTTTTAATATTAGTTACAGTTTATTAACTTTGTATCCCAGCTGTATCCCCCTCCCTCATCCCCTCCCAATCCCACCCTCCCTCCCTCCTCTCCTCCCTGCCCCTTTCCAAGTCCACTGATAAGGGAGGACCTCCTCCCCTTTCATCTGACCCTAGCTTATCAGGTATCTTCAGGACTGGCTGCAAAGTCCTCCTCTGTGGCCTAGCAGGGCTGTTCCTCCCTCGGATGGGGGGGGGAGCAAAGAGCCAGCCGTTGAGTTCATGTCAGAAATAGTCCCTGTTCCCCTTACTAGGGACACTTGGACACTTGGACACTGAGCTGCCATGGGCTACATCCGAGCAAGGGTTCTAGGTTATATCCATACATGGTCCAAATATTAACACACCAACTCAATGCTTGCTATTGTGCTAGACCCTGGGAAAGACACTCTCAAGCAGCTCACCAGGGACACAGATAGAATAATCAAGTAAACATGAATATGATGGCTGATGTGAAGGAGGGACATACAAAGTAAGTTTTAAAAGATTATTATTTTTTTTCAAATTATGTTACATGTCTCTGTTGGAGAAGATCCACATGCCCACAGAAGCCAGAGGAACCAGATCCCCTGGACCTGGAGTTAAAGGCAGTTGTAGTTGCCCTATATGGATTAGGGCAACCAAACTCAGAGTCGAGAAGAACAATACATGCTCTTGACAGCTGAGCCACCTCCCCAGCCACAGTCTCTACAAAGCAACTTCTAATTTATCTGATAAAAGTAAAAATGTTGCAGAACAGAAGATATTTGATTTAACAAAAATTCACATATTTAAGTATAGAAGACATATTTCAAAAGTAAGACACACATACAGAGAGAGAGAGACAGAGAGGGAAAGAGAGATGCAGAGGGAGGGAGGGAGGCAGAGACTGGGGGCGGGGCAGGGATAGACAGTCAGCATTTAAGGAAAACACTGATACTCAGGTGAACCACAAGCTACTTGCATAGGAAAGTCACCTTTAACAAAATATATAAACTATTCTGTTCTGGAAATTATCTCATTAATATTGACTACTCATCTAATTCCAGCAAAAGGCCTAACATTCCTGTAGCTCCAGGCTTAACTGGCATTCATTCTAGAATACGGAACAATTTCATTAGAACATAGTCAGTAAATAAGTATGTGTATGTAAAATCCCTGTGTATGTAACACAAATATGGGAAACAGCTTCGAGTAAGTTAACATGTTCTGTATTTTTTTTTTTTTTTGCAGAATCCAATATACCACTTCAATGTTCTCCTCCAGTTATAGTGCTTATAAGGTTTACAAGCAGACATTTGGAGACTACGTGGAACAAATGAAGCCTCAATTATCAAAAAATGATAAATCAGCTGCACCTAGCCATCAGAGGACTACCAACATTCCACTTTTCAGGAGAAAAATAACTTTTCATTGTTAGCTCACTTGTGGTCTGAAAAACTACATGGGCATAGAGACAAAACAAAAGTTATAAAGAATTGGAAAAATCAGAATTTGTTACTATAGATTAAGTACTACTGACTAACCTGGCTGATTAAAAATCGATGCTGAGAGGCTGGGGATGGGGTGGAAAAACCTTTGCCTAGGAATGAGACCCTTGGTGCAATCCTGACACTGCACAATCATAAATAATACAAATTATTGAGCCCGTCTGTAATCCCAGCACTCAGGGCTGGGACAGAAGAATCTCTGCACAAGACCAGGTTAGGGTTACACAGTGAAATAATGTCACAAAACAAAGGGAAAAAAAACCCTCTCTGACAATAAAATCCCTCAATGAAAATATAAGAAAATCAGGGATTAAAGCAAAATATTATGATAAAATCTGTAAAGAGCTTTCTTAATTCAAAGAATTGTGAGCTAATTGAAAATTCAAAATGATGCAATATAAGTTATAGCCAGGAGGTATCAGGTATTCTTCCATAACAATATTTATTCGGCAACTATATGAAAGGAAGAATTAAAACCTCAAATTGGGTATGATAGTTCACTCCCACAGTCCAGCACATGGCAAGCTGAAGTAGAAGGATTGTCCAGGAGTTTTGAGGTCAACCTGGACTACACAGAAAATTCCATTTAAGATTATGCTACAGTGTACTAAGTCCCTATGAAAAATAAACCCAGATAGACAAATTGGGTACAACTGAGTGATAGTGCCCACCTAAAATGCATGAGGACCTGGGTCTGATCTCCCCCCACACTAATGATCTGTAAACATAATTTAATGTCAGAAATGCCTCTGAGCTAATGCTTTATGAAAAGATTCATAGAAAGACCTACCAATGAATACAGAGATGTACAAGGAAGTTCATTCATTAAAGCACTATTTATAACAGCTCAAAGCGAGGAATTACCTGAATGTTCACCACCAGAGAAAAATGGCTTAGCAAACAGTGACATATCAAGATATGTAGTAACTGGAGAGGCTTGTATCTCTAATGGCATGGAAGACTCTACCATGTAGAAATCATTACAGCAGAAGGAGACATTGTAGATCCTGGTATTCCCCATTTCGACGGTACCATATTGGCACAACAGTAATTTTACTCTGCTTTAAAGTCTCCTAAATTCTCCAGCTATGTAGCCTTAGCCAGCCACAAGATCAGGCAAGGTTTGGTTTCCTTATTTATGAAATGATGATGATGATGATACCACCCCAGAGGGTTGTGAAAATAAAATGAGATAATCCAGAAAATTGCATTTGGCTCCATATGGACCTAGGGGAAGCTTTCCTAAGGCAGTACAAAAGTTGATATTTCCCTTGATAAAACTCACCATCTCCTTTTAAAGGAATTTTTACTATTTCATCTACTATTGTCCTGAATGCCCTTTAAATAAAACCTGCATCGGCAATTAATATTAGAATGTAGACTGGCCTGTAAATATTGCTGCTTGTGTCTGGAGCAATGGGCTATCGTTACAAAATAGGTCATTGCTCCACACAATTTCTATTTTGCCTGGGACAGGAAGGCCCTGAGAGGTAAAAGGAAGACTGGGTTACATAAATA